TTTGTTGATATTCTCTACTTTGTAAAGTATCATTCTCATAACATCCTATATTTCTTTAAACATGGATTCCTTCAGTCCTTTGGACAAATTTAAAATAGCCTACTTAAAGTCTTTGTCTAATTAGTCCAGTGTGTGTACTTCTTCTCTTCAGAGGCAATATTATTGACTGCTTTATTTCCTGTGCTTGTTTCTTTGTACATCTCATATTTTTGTTGTTTTTGTTAAAGACTAGTTCTCTTAAAAAAAACATAATGTGGCAACCCTGAAGTAAGATTTTTGTCTTTCCTCAGTGTTCATTATTTAGTGATTTTTTTTTCAGAGCTTAATCTGTTAAGTCTATATTTTTTGTTATATGTGGCTACTGAAGTATCTGCTTGGTTAACTTTGTGGTCAACTAATGATTGAACTGGAATTTTCTTAAATGCCTGGAACCAATAAGTCTCCCAGTCTTTGCAAAGGCGCTCTATGTGAACATGGGGGCACAGCTTCAAACTCACCAGGCAGTTGGCAGCTCTGTCTTAGCTTTACCTTCCTGCTTGCACAGTATTACAGTCAGACAGAAATGAGATTTTAGAAACTTCTTGTTTTTTTCCTGAGAATTTCCCCATCCTTAAATGTGTATGTGGTCTGCTAGATCCCCAGAAACATGTCAAAGCTTTTCAAAATACGCTATGGCAGCTACGATGGTAAACAATAGCTGATGTTTTTTTCTAACAAACACTCCAAAGAAAAAGATGATTTATACTTGCTGAGCTTCTAGTCAGGTCAAATAAAGAAAAGCTTTGTGAGTGGAGTCTTCCAGAGAAACACTAGACAAGTCAAATAATGACAATTTTCTTCAAATGGTTTGGGAGGAGCCCTATCACCATTTAACACCATCCAGTAAGTGCTAGGCCACTGTTTTTTTACTATGAATATAGACTGTTTTTAAGACTACCACATGGAAGATGAAAATAAGAAAACTTAAAAATTCCACAAAGCTCACTGTTCTTACCAAATTCAGCCACTTTTCTTGAATAAACATTTCCTGGATTACTAGAAACCTTTGGTTAATTTCCAGGGTTCTGAAAAAATTGATGCTGACAATTTTTGCTAATGCTCTCAATGCTTTTATGGAAGAGGGGATTTTCAGAGATCTATTCCCACTGACACACCATGCTCTTATTTTTAAACTTTCTGTGAAATGTTTCTTTAGGGGAACAACTTGTTGTTGTTTTTTTTTTCAAAGTTTCCATCAGAGATTTTTGCTTTTATTAGAAAAGAAAACCACTGGAATGTCATACACTCACAGATAAATTCAGTATCAGCTCCACTACATCATTTTACAATTTCTCTATGTTTTTATTGTTTCTTTTAATTTTTCAAGTGGTTTTAGGCATATCTCTCATCCTCTTCCCCTAACAATTTGAGGTTCTACTTCTTACTTGTTTTACTGTAAGTTACTGTAAACAGACATATTAAAAGATGTAAACTAATAATTTTCTATTGAAATAAAAATGCAATAGTATAATACATAGGATCAAATTTCAAGACAATATTTAAAACAAACAAGAAAACTATTTAAATTATCACAGTATACTTTGTTGAGAAGAACATTTGAAGTAATCTTAATAATTGTTGTTCATTATTGGGTGATTACTATGTACCAAACAGGATAACAATCTTTTGTGGATTTATTTAAATTTCATAACTCTGTAAGCAATGTCCTATTATTGCCTTTTAATTTGTGAGTAAGCAAAGCTCCAAGACTTTTAAAGAAATAATGTCCAAAATCACATAGGTTACAGATAACAATATCGTGGCTTAAGTTCGGGTCCCCTAATTTCCAGCACCAAGCTACAGGACTTCTCAAATATTTATCCCTTTCATAAGGGTAAAATTAAGAGCACAGCTAATTGGAAGGGGCATGCATGTTCTAAAGCTAAGTAATACAAAGTTGTCTTTCTGGGTATCTCTTATTAGACACAATTTTAAATATCAAGTAGGAAAAGAAGGACAATTGACAGATGAAAGCTAGAAGGATGCTAGGATGGCCTGGGAGAAAAAGACAGTTGGGACGGTGTGAGAAGGAAATCAGAAAGAAGAGAAAGTCAACCTACTTTTGACTGAAGGGAACAGATGGGAGATGTGCAAAGACAAAGGGCATGTGGGAAGGTGTCATTAGTTAGAGGGCAAGTTACTGGAATTTGATCAATCGACAAGAATTTATTTACTGGACTCCTGGGCACTGTGGGAGATACAAAAGAATGTAGAGTTATTTTGGGAATGATAATGATGTAGACAAGACAGATGGCTTGAATTGGGACATTAATGCTGAAGGAAAAGGCTAGAGACAGAAGGCAGAAAGAAAGAGGTTAGGGCAATCCCCATGTGAGCTAGCTTGCCTATCAATCTGGATTTTTTATGAGAATGGAAAGAAGTAAAAGCAATTTTGTTGTGTAGGTGCCACTGAATCAAAGACAAAGGATTGGCAGATGGAAGGAGAAATGTGTCAAATCACCTACACTGTCCATTTATGCCTTTGTGTAAATTAAAATATTTTTTTTATAAGTTTGAAAACAGGGCCCTCCCTGGTGGCACAGCTGGTTAAAGCACAGCACTAAGAAGCTAAAGCCACTTCGGCATGAGTTCGATCCCCACCTGCCCCAGAGGTGACCTACAGGGCACAGCAGACCTCTCCTGACCTACCCGTTGCTCCCCTCAGTGGTGTACTTTGTGGATCTGCCCATTCTGCTCCCCACTCTGTCTCTGGTGAAGCCTCTCGCCGCCCCTGAGCCTCTGGCCTGTACCCCAGTTCTGTATGCACAAATAAATAAATCTTTAAAAAAAAAAAAGTTTGAAAACCCACCCATCTACACCCTACAAATAGTGCTTTACATTTTCCTCCCAAATACAAACATTATCATTTGGCTAAGGGTGGGTAGGGCTTGATGAATATGATTAACACTGAATAGGCCTGGCCACCTTGAATATCAGTAGGAACTCTATTGGTCTTGAAGAAAGTCGTGAATAAGACTTAAAAAGTGACTAGAGATATTGAACAATGTAATGAAAATGGATATCCATTGTTAATGTGAAAGATTGATTGGTGCTAGTGGACATGAAAATTAATTTAGAGGCATGGAGAGGCAATGAGCTCTCTGAGTAATCCTTAGTATATTATATGTAATAGAATTTCATATGTACATTCATTTATTCTAAGGTATCTATGGAGTATCTGCTATAACAAACACCTTTTCTTCCATGTCTCTTCCTGCATTCCAAACGCTTTCCGTGTATTATCTCACCAAATCCTCATAGCCATAACTTATGTAGATGTTATTTTATCCCATTTTATAATTGAAAAAAAAATAAGATGTTAAGTGATGTGTTCAAGATCACATAGGCAGTAGGAGGAAGAGTAGCAAATGCTGTCCTGCTCTGTGTCATAGTTGATGGCAGGAACATTTTAGGTGTCTAGGATATAAAAATTAATACTTGACATTCCTTGTTCTTAGCAGCATATAGATAGGAGGGACATGCATAGAAAGACAAACAAACTATGTAATATAATAAAACTTCTACTAAAAAAGGCATAAAATAAGTGGATGAGAAAAGAAATGTATACATTTGCCTGGAGTATCAGAAGCCACTTAGCATAGACTTTAGGGTCAGCAATTATTTCCTCACTCACGAAGGCACAGGTGGAATTCCAGGACATGCAGAACAGTGTATTCAATGACTCCAAGGTAGGGAAGTGTTTGAACCACCTCGGGAACTCAAAGGAAGTTGAAAGGCTCAAACACCAAAGGTAGAAGTATATCTAGGAGGAGAAAAGTCTGGAGAGGTAATCACTTGTATATGAGCCTAAGGAATTCAGATTTTTATCTTGCAGAAATTGGGAAATCATTCAAGTCCATCCTACAGAGCTTTTATTAATAAAAGAGGTTCTGCATGGTATTATATTAGAGTTCCTAAGGCTACAGAATACCTAACGTTCACAGCTAAGTAGCAATGGCAGTTCTGCAAAATGAACACTCCATCGGAGGCTTGAAGGCTGTTGGTGAAAAGACAACAATATGCTCCAGGTACATTTGGGTCCAAAGTACCAGAAGTTGCACTGAGAATAGACACTGTGCTTAACTGCCTTGACTGGTTACTTTACCCGATACTTTACCCATGCATTTGTTAATCCAGGACATTGTTAATCTAATACATAATATGCGTACCAGGTGGCCATCACCTTGTTAACAGCAGTATTTCAAACTTGACTGCCAATATAATGGTGGACGGCTTTAGAAAAGGCATGGCTCATCTCCTGGAAACTAACTTCAGGTATGACATGGATGAACACATGATTAGAGATTTGGGGACTAGCAATCAAATGCTACTTGGAGAATGCTAGCAGTGAGTGACCTGGAGAATACTATCTGTAATATCTGGTGTGAGCAGAGATAGGCCTATAGACACAATTCCCTCAAGCCTCTAGGCAGTGGGATAATTCACCAAATCACAGACATCAGGCACAAATTAACACTTGGGGAGAAGAGGAACCTGCAAGGAGCAACCACAGTCTCTCATACACCCAATAGGGGGCAGCATCTGGAAGGAGGTAAGTAGAAAGTTCCCAATTACATATACCCAAGAGGAACTGAACAGACTCCATAAGTAATAGCATTGAGCAGCTTCCTCCCAGTGGGATCAAGAACAAAAGACCTTATGAAGAGGTTCATGTCAAAATTATGTTTTACGTAAATGTAGATGTGTACACAGTAAATGGAGATGGTCATTTTATTCTTGCCAACAATTAGATACATGGCCATAAAAAAGCTGCTTTCCATTGCGGGGCTTCAGCTTTCTCATCTACAACATGAAGAAGCTGCATTTGATGATTTCTAAGTTCCTTTCCAACTGTAATTTTTTATTAGGACTCCAGATGGTTACTGGAGATGATAAAATTCTTTTGTCGATGTACAATTATATTGTATAAATGCTACAACATCAGATTTTCCTCCTTGTAGGAACCTCTGTGTGAAAATGACCCAACAAATGCAGAATTTACATCTTTCTCAGTCAAAGAAACATAGCACCCCATCATCTCCCAACGCTGCCAAACGCCTGTACAGGAACCTTTCTGAGAAACTTAAGGGGAGCCATTCTTCGTTCGATGAGGCCTATTTCAGAACAAGAACTGACCGGCTAAGTCTCAGAAAGACCTCAGTGGTAATACAACTCTTTTTCTCCTTGATTCAGTTTGATTTGCTCAGTTGTGTTTGGGTTGAAGAAGGTTCTAAGGTGATACACACTTACTTCAGAATCTATCTCAGCAGTTTTTCTAAGAAAAGTCAGGGAAGGCAGGAACTATATATATCTACTGTAGCTAGCTGAAGTTTGAATGGTTATAAGTTTTTCCCTTCTTTTTCTTGATTTCTTTCCCCTAGGTTTTTCTAGCTCTAATGGGGGGAAAAAGAGCAGTTTGACAAATATGGAGTATGAGATTAAATAGGCTTTCTGTGAGCTCCAGTGTTCATTCAAGTATTGAATGAACAATATTCTATTTACTTATTATAATGTATACTCCATATGCTTTCCAAGGCATTTGAGACAGAATCCAAGCAAAAACTGCATGGGCATTATATGATGGGAAATAAATAAAGAGATGAGAGAGGGAGGAAGGGGCGGGGGTTGGTGGAACAAAGCAAAGATTACAAAAGAAAATACTAGAAAAAGAAAATATTGGGAAGCATATACTAAAATCTTGGGTGGAGACAGTACCTAAAATTCATCACTACTATACATTTATCTCAGAGTTTCCAGTCAGTCATAGCAGGAGGGGAAACACAAATGGTTATAGCATCCCACTACCTGATAAATGAAAGTAATTCACTCTACTAGGAGAATTGAATATTTCCTGTCACTAAGTTCTCTGGCCTTTTTAAGAAGTTAAATGAATTATGTAATAGAAAGTAAAGAGTAGTATTGGTGGTGATCTAGACATTCTCATATAGTAGTTTCTTATATTGGTTTTCTGTAAAAGATGAGAGCATTATATTAACATGCTCAATAAGAACATTTCTGCACAGCGTAAAGGCACCATTTGTCTCAGCTTAAAACTGAAATGAGCCCTCGCCTCTTCAGATAGAAGTGTGCTACAGTTTGCCAACAAAATCATGAGTGAGGAAATGACAACACTGAGAGCAAATACAGACATGAGAAATTAGACATACTACGAATCACAAATACACAACTGTGGACAGGGAGGCATATTAATTTTGCACTCATTTGTTTTCTAATTTATTTTCTCATTTCATTTCTCATCTTCCAGACAGGCTTGGTTGTGGCTGAGGTACGGCCTGATCATCAGAGTCTGTTCAATTCAGCAGATTTTGACAAAACCCTTTTCCATTCAGCAGATTGTACTTGTTGCAAAGAGCTGTCTACCAAAATATCTCTATCCTCACAGTCCCTAATATCAGGCATTTGCATAATAGTTTTGTATTTTCCTCCAATTTCAATCATGTATTATGTATTCAGCTAAGCCAGCCTGCAGCCTTTGACAGGAAGAATCAAATTTTGATGCAACTAAAAATATAAACTCACCAGCCTAAATATTTAATAGCTGAAGACCTCCCACATTTTAATCAGGTGATCACTATGCCAGGTCAAGACCAATGGTATTTCACCATTTGAAAAAAAAAGAAAAGAAAGAAAGGAACTTGGAGACACAGATATGTACATAGCACATGTTTTGTTCTTTTCCCATGAGCTATAGAAATATATGTTTGAAAGAATTCCAGAGCTTTTCTCTGTTGTTTACTATTAATCCTCTGAAAGATCTTTTCAGAAAAACCACATTATTGTTAGTTATTTCTACAGACAATTTGTATACCACAAATATTCAACTTTGCCCCTTTCAGAGCGCCAAGTCAATTATTGATCACTCAGACACTGAAACCCTCCCTGGACTGCATGTGTTGAGCCCTACAGATGAGAGTTGTGTGGTTCAGGATTTGGATATTTGAGAAAGTGTAGGGACTGGTACAAAAAATTCAGGAGTTTTAAAATCAGCCTCTCGGCAATCTGAAGCTATTGGAGAACTGTAGAGAGGAGAGTGACATGAAACATTGTATGTTTTAGAAAGATTAATCTAGGATCAGCAAGATTACTCTTGTATCAGCATAGAACTTCAACTAGAGAAGACTCAGCCTAGTGGCAAACAAGTTATGGCTCAGGCAAGAAATGTAACTGGGCAATAGTAGAACTCTAGGGCTAGAGAGGGAGGGAAGAGAAGAAAAACAGAGAAGGCTCACTCTCAGTTTCAAGGTAGTCATAATTAGAACTACTTGTACATCGCCCATGCCAGCATTTCTCAAATGGTGTTCTTATGGAACATCGTTCAAAGGGCAATGAAAACAAGTGCTATGAAAAGTGTTTTCTGTGAACAAATTACTTTCTACCACTTAGAGGGTCACTAATTGGATGTTAAAATAATTAGAACCTGAAAACCCTTACAGCACAATACTATGGTAACTTGATTTAATCCAGTGTTTACCAAATTTATTTGACCCTATGCTACTTTCTTCACTGAATACCTTTTATTGAGCTAGGAAGCTGTATTCCACAGAAGACTGGTGAAAAGTTGGTGTTTGCTCTTATCTATAGATTAATCATGCTATTCTGTACTGTCTCAATGCATTTAAATGTACAGATCTGTTCAAAGCCCATTAGAAATGATGGAGGCTCCCACTGTGTTTACTTTGGAGACCATGGGAGAAATTGTATTTGTACTTTTTAGAAGTGGGAATATATTACCGAAGGGGTCCTTAAGATTCAAAACAGCTAAATTGCAATAACACTGGTCTGTGAGATGGTGATAACATGCTTTTCTTCTTCTCTGGTAGAACTTCCAAGGCAGTGAAGCCATATTTGAAGCAGTTGAACAGCAGGACATGGATGCTGTACAGACCCTCCTGTACCAGTATACGCCTGAAGAACTAGATCTCAATACACCTAACAGTGAGGGATTAACACCACTGGATATTGCCATCATGACCAACAATGTGCCCATTGCTAAGATTCTTCTGAAGTCAGGAGCCCGAGAAAGTCCACACTGTAAGTAAATCTGCGAGGGAAAAATATAGCATTAAAGCTAGATGCCAGTATTGAAATAGCCATTGCTGACCTTAGAGCACAGACTCTGAAATCCTTTACAAGTTTCCTTGGACTTTAATGCAAGTAGTAATAGTGTTTATTAGTTTAAGCAAGCATCAAGTTATATTCTAAACAGAACACACTGGATGGCATTAAAAAGAAGTCTCTAAGGAGGTTCCCACTAAAAAAAATTTTTTTTAAAGATTTATTTATTTATTCATACAAAACTGGGGTACAGGCCAGAGGTTTGGGGGATGAGAGGACTCACCAGAAACAGAATGGGTAGACAGGCCGACTGATGAAGTACACTGCTGAGGAGGGCAGCAGGCAAGTCAGGAGAGGTCTACTGTGCCATGTGGGTCACCTTTGGGGCGAGGGTCAAACATGCACTGAGGCAGCTGTGGCTTGCTTGCCGTGCTGCCCTTTCACCTGCTGCACCATGAGGGATGGCCCCCCACTAAAATTTTAACCCAAACCTTAAACACTTGAGCTAGGGCAAACATGTGAGGCTAAAGAGAAAAATACACATAAAGATTGCGTGTGTTAGTCTTTGTATCCACAGTCAGTACGATGGCTTGCTTTATTCATTTCACAAACACTAATTGCAGACACTTTCTGGGTATGAGGAATGCAGCAGTGAGTCAGACAGAACCCCTGGCCTCAACAGAACATAGACAGTAGTGGTCACTTCCAATAAGCAAGTAAATACATCAATTAAAATATAAACTTAAATAGTGGTCATTGCTGTGGAGAAAACAAAATGGCTAGAGGTTGATGGAAAAGGGAGTATTTTAAAGAGGATTAGACAAGAAATGCCACTCTGATGCATTCAGTGAGCCCTGAGAGAGGTTGGGGTCAACTTCTGAGCAAAGTAGACAGTGAGCAGAAAGGTGCTGAAGCAGCAGAATGAGACTGTCATACCTGAAGGCCAATGTGGTTACAGCAAAGTGAGGAGAGGACAAAGGAGGAGGGGTGGCTGAGGAAGAGTCATCTAGGCCAGATCAGGCAGTATCTGGCCGGCCATGGGAAGCAGGTGAATGACCCCTCTGCTTTACACTTTAGAAGATCTGGACAGTGGAACAGACAGTAGTGGGGCCCTTGTGACACTGGAACAACCAGCTAGGAGACCATTTTAGATAGCAGCCCAGGAGACAGAGGCCAGTGGCTTGTACTGATGTGGATGCAACATTGATGGTGATCAGGGGTGGAATTCTGGCTGGATTCTGAAAATAATTTAGTAAATATATAACTCACATGCCGCACAATTCACCCAATTAAAGTGAATAATTCTGTGGTCTTTCAGTACATGTGCAGGGTGGTGCACCCAGTGCCACAATCAATTGTTGAACATTTTCCACCACACCCAAGAAGTCCCATACCTTTTAGCTCTTGTCTTCCAACTTACCTGGTCTTCCCAGCCCTAGGCAACCATTAATCTGCTTTCAGTTTCTATAGATTTGCCTATTCTGGACATTTCATGTCAATCAGCCTTGCACATAAGTGGAACCCCATATGATGTTATATTTTGCAAATGGCTTCCTTCTGGATGTATTTTGAAAATTCTTGTGGAAAGATCACACTTGGGGCCCTGGAAGAAGATCCCTTTGAGTGGCAGTGTCCTGCAACCATCACCCCATGACAGGCACCATTCTCACCTTTTCAATTTATTGACCACTTCAGCCCTCTGAGCCTCACCCTGATGCAGGCACTCACATGCCCTGTAGTGCAGACTCTCTGGCCCCATGACCAAAATATCTCTGAGCCATAGTTTTTATGTCTTCTAAAAGAAAAAAAGCAAACTCATCACTAATGATGATTCACTTACTTCCAAGTGGGAAGACCCAGAAGCGTGAAAGCAGTAAGTAAATATGTACTAAGAAATTCCATCTTTGCTCCTAACTGTCATAAACCCCACCACCCAAAGACTCAGTGCAGAGGCTGATCCTTTTATCAGTCAACTATTTATTTTAAAAATACTAATTTCATAG